TATTGTTTTTTAAATTTTCATTAATTTGAGTAATTTATATGTCTTTACTGGATTCAGAAATCACACTTTTAAAATAGGCTTTGTCGATATCTTGATTTTTAGTCGTTTTGGCTTATTTTAATGCTTGTTTTGTATTATTTTAAATAGTTTTAAATAATGTTGAAGTGCCCTTGGAAGTTGAAGTGCTGAGGCCCCGGTTAAAGGGTTAGTTCACCCAAAAATTAAAATTCTGTCAGCAATTTATTATAAAAACGTTTTCATAATTGTAACATACATATTTACATACATAATTATTCAGGTGCATGTGTAATAACTTGCGAAAACTAAACTAAGCAAAGAAAACAAAAATACCGACTTTATTCCACATTTTCGTCTCTACTGCGTCACTTGTGGATGCACGTTCACGACAGTATCATGACGCGAGTGTGTGGCGCCGCCGGTGCTGACCCAGATCTGGCGTGATGACGTCATTACACCGGATCTGGGTTAGCGCCGCCACACATTCGCGTCATGATACTGTTGTGCTGTCTAAAGTTAGCTTCATAACTTTACAGTTGAACCACTGATGTCACATGACTACTTTGTCGATCATCTTGGTACTTTTCTGGACCTTGAACGTGGTAGTTACCTTGCTGTCTATGGGAGGGTCAGAGAGCCCTCAGATTTCATCAAAAATATCTTAAATTGTGTTCCGAAGATGAACGAAGGTCTTACGGGTTTCGAACAACACGAGGATGAGTAATTAATGACAGAATTTAAGGAGCAACTGATCTAAATGGATGTCTTTGACCTTTACGCACCTCTCACCATTTTTTTTTTTTTTTTGGGGTGTTTCACACACAACTGTCTTTCCTAAAACGTGGTTAATTCAGCTTTTAAAAACGCATCTCTAAAGCCTGCATTTTTTCCATTCCTCTGCACTGCATCTCATGTTTTTAAAAGCAAGAATGCAAATGGTCTTGTTTACACAATGCAACCTATGTTTTAAAACACAAGGTGTAGCGGACTTGAGACACGTTTCTTGGCAAAGTTACCTATTTTTTTTTATGTATTCTTTCCATGAACATACCCTGTCAAAACAACAAAATAAATATATTTGACATGGTATTTTAAAAATGTGACACTTGCAGAACA